GTAGCCAGTCAGGTGGGATCCAGTCCTTTAACCTCTATGCCACCTGTTGGCCCTCTCTTGGATTGTTTATCATCAGACCTGTCCACATTGAGCCTCCGCAATTCATCAATTACAGTTCAGGTTTCCCTACCCCTTACAGGGGTTTCTACTCCGTTATGATTCTCTGTATTCACCTGTCAGTCTCTCCAATTTTGGGGGCAGTAGTTTGTCCCATAACCTCATGTCCCATAGATCTAAGAAAAGTTGGTGATTTTTCAGTTTGTTTAGCATTTTACTTGTTAAGAGAGAGCGATGATTTCTTACACACCAAACTGGAAACTAGAAGTCTCATGAGTAGCTTGTAAAACCATGGTAGTGTAGGATGCTCATGACCCCACCTTAGGGAGGTGCCCTTGTTTGATTTTGCACACAAACCTGAGTTGGCCCAACCAAATCACGAAGCTGCGATGTGTACACAGGAAGCCCATATAATACACCACAACAAAGTCCTGCTTTAGTTCTCAGTGGGAAACACTGGTTCTTGTTGGACAAAAGTATTCAGGACAGAAATATGTGATGTTATTGAGTTTTGGACTTATGTGGCTAACAGAGATGGGCTATGAAAACAATTAATGGACACTGACTTTCTTTCTTCTTTTACATTTCCTTCTTTTCTTCTTGCATGCGTGAGATGGAGGGATAGCACTCCAATAGAGTCTTTATGAAAAATAATTATTTATTTTAATTTTATTATTATCATTATTTAAAAATTTGCTATAGGTCATGTGCATTCACCAGAGAGAGACTGAGAGAGAAAGGGGGGGGGAGAGAGAGAGAGAGAGAGAGAGAGAGAGAGAGAGAGAAAGTGAGAAAGTAAGCCACCAGATCTGGGACTCAAACTGCAGTTGGCCAAGTGAGAGTTTAGCATGTTAACCACCATGCCACCTGCTGGCTCTGGGTCTTTTATTTTTAAGAATTTTGATTTTATTTACTTACTACTTATTATTTTAATTTGACTAGAGAGAGATAAAGGGAAAGTGAGAAAGCAAGCTGCTAGGTCCTGGACTCAAACTGTGGTTGGACATTCTCTTGTCTTTTGGGTAGATACCTGGAAGTGGGAATGCTGGATCCAATGGTAGTTCTATCTGTAGATCTTTGAGGAACCTCCATATTGTTCTCCACAGTGACTGAACCAGTTTACATTCCCACCAACAGTGTAGGAGAGTTCCCCTTTTACCACATCCCTGCCAACACTTACTACTTTTTGTATTTTTAATCTTTGCCACTCTAACAGCTTGCACGTCAATGTTTATCGCAGCATTGTTCACGATTGCTAAGACACGGAATTAACCTAAATGTCCACAAACAGATGAATGGATGGAAAAAGTGTAGCACATCTATTCTTTGGAATACTACTCAGTCATAAGAAAACAAGACCCTGGCATTTGATAGAAAGTGGTCAAATATGGAGTATCTATTGCTGAGCGAAGCAAGCCAGGATATGAAAGAAAAATATTGTATTATGTATCCACTTAATATATACTGAATCTCCACACTTTATGATAGAGATTGAAATATTGGAGGTCATGAAAGCAGTGTAAATAGTTAATGGATGCTGAAGACAGTGTGGAACAGGGCAGGGGGAGAAGGGAAGAGTATAGAGAAGGATAGCAAGAGAACAAATAGAGAGGCATTAGTAGGACACAGATATGATTTGTTACCTGCTGATGATAACACATATAGTATGCTCAGATGAACTGGTGTGGAAAGTATTTTATGTTCGGTAAATTATTTATACGAGTCAAATGATATATAGTGATTGAATGTTTAAAAAATAATGAGAATAAATAATAATAATCTGAAAAAAATGATGAAAAGCTACTTGATGATAATGTGGATAGTAATGTCTTTGTCTTGACTGGTATGTGTGGTAATCGTGATGGAAAAAGAAATGTAATACAATGTAAAGACATATGTGATTCAATGTAATATAAAAAGAGTATGATAATAAATAAATTTTTTTAAAAAAAGAAAAGAAAAACATGTTTGGGCACGTGGGAGTCCAGCATCTTAACCACCATGCCACTTGCCGGCTCCACTCACCAGGGTCTTGACATCATGACTCACTCCTAGCTTCAATCAGCCTGGATCATGAGCATGTGTGTACCCAGCATACTCAGGGAGGTCTGTAGACTTGAACCTGAAACCTTCCCATGTGAGTCAGCCTCACAGAGTGTTCCATTTTACCGCTGTGCCACCATCTGGCCGCCCAAAATTATTTTTAATAATTCATCCTCATTTTTTTTCAACAATATTTACCATTCGCTTACCAGGTGCTAATGACTGGGCTTACAAACTTCAGTGAAACAAGTGACTAAAGTCCCTAGAGACTTGGGAAAGGGGCAGATGTAAAATTAAAAAAATGTAACCCTGGGTGATGAGTACCACACATGATATCAAAGCACAGAACAATGAGTTATTGGTCCTTTCTTCCATATGTTTGCAGCTCTGAAGATCTTTTTTTGGAGCTGGATGTGTCTGCTGTGTCTCAATGATTCTCCATGAGATTCCTAGTGGCTCTGCCCATATGCTATAATGAATGTTCAGAATAGGCTCTAACAGCCCAGCAACTGTTGCTTCCTACTCTTCCTGCTTCTCCTTGTCTTAATTTGGAATATGAGCTACCTGTCCCAAAACATAGAATACAGAACTAACTAAATAAACATCTTTATTTTTCTGTAATGTAAATTATTTTACATCCCCATCCACAAATCCTGCGGTTTGTTCAGGATTTCTGTTTTTGGAACTGGACATGAGGTTGGGTCCCATCTGATCTCTGATGCTGCATAACCTCGAAGGCTTCCTCTGAAACATCTACGCCTCTGTCTGGTCCTTGGTTGTCGATTTTGTGCAGCCTGTGATGGAGATATCATTATTATTTTGAAAAGAAATAATTATTTATTTAACTTAATTTATTCTTCTTCAATTTGATGAGAGAGAGAGAGAGAGAGAGAGAGAGAGAGAGAGAGAGAGAGAGAGAGAGAGAAGGAAAGTGAGAAAGCAAGCCACCAGGTCTGGAACTCAAACCACAATTGGTCATGTGGGAATCCAGCACTTTTATCCCTATACCACCTGCCAACCCTGAGATATCATTATTTTTATCCACATGGCCCTTCCAGCCTGGAGGCTTTCTCTGATATTTCTATGCCACTCTCAGACTCACAAGAATTATTCTCCTAAGACATGCTTTCTGCTGTAGGATACTATTGCTTCCTTGTGGCTCTAGACTCATTTGATTTTTTAGATCCTACAAGCTATCTGGAAAATCTCAGAGAGCAAGTGAGGAAGAATTGATCCATAGCTACTTTTATTATTTTTTTTAATTAATAAAACAGTAAAAAAATTTTTTTTTCTTTCTTTCTTGAGAAAGAGAGGCAGGCACTCAATACTCAAGTGTCTTTATGCTACGATCCACCTTCCCACTTTGAACAGCCCCAAAGCACGGAAACATGTGTGCCTGGTACACTCTGGGAGGTCTCGAGATGTGAACTCAAAACTTTCCCGTGTATATCATCGTCAGAGTGTTGTGTTATTGCTGTGCCACTATCCTACCCCCATATCTACTATTTTTTTCTTTTCTTCAGAGAGAGATTTTTGCTATAGGGTATATGTGCTTGCCAGAGAGAGAGAGAAAGCGAGACACACAGCACGAGAAAGTTAGAAATTATCCCCTGGGGGCGATAGCCACGCTGCCATCCCTTCTCCTCCATTCTCCTCTCTGGATTTTGGGCATGCATGCACATTCACTTGGAGTGAATTTCAAGCTCCGGGATCCAGGACTCAACTACGGTTGGCCATGTGAAAGCCCAAACCCTTAACCACTATGCCACCCATTGCCAGCATATCTACCATTTTTAACATTCCCTTTAGACTCTTCTCCTACTCTCAGGGGGTGGGCATAGCTTAGGAGGATCCAAAAGGCATCTTCCCCAATTCTTTGCTACCTTTCTTTTACATATCCTTTCTACTAATGTAGAGCAAAACAAAGTCCCAGTTAGAATGGGGAAGGAAAAACTGGGAAAAAATAGTATTTTGAGAATATTTTTCTACATCATAAGTAAGTTGAGACTGTGGGAACTGAGCTGGAGAGTAGGTTGTCTCTAAAGAGAAGTTACTCCAAAAAAAGAAGAGAAAAATGAGAAAGAATTAAGAGATGATAGGAAACATTATTTTACTGGAAAACCAGTGACCATTCCTAGCCATTATACTCTGCCTCCCAACTGTTTTTGTTTGATGGACATTTTCAGGAGATAAGTTGCTATTTTGTCACTTAATATATGAATATAACATATGCCCAATTTCCAGCACACTAATGGACTTTATAATGCAATAAATTGTAGGCACTCAATAAATTTTTATGAAATGAATTAATGATAAAATCAGTGGATGTAACTGGATGAGTTAAAGTTACACAGGCTGTATGAGCAGGAGGAGCTTCATAAATCTTATATTATGAAAAATCAAGATTAAAAATTAATTTGATATTTTCTTTCACTCACATGGGATTTAACAGTCTTGGAGAACAGAGGTGGCATAGTGATTGGGATGCTGGACTCGCACATGGCTAACCACAAATAGAGTCCTAGCCCTCGTGGCTTGTCTTCTCACTTTCTCTCTCTCTCTGGTCAAATTTAAAAAAATAATAAAATGTACATAATTACTAAAAAAAAAAAAAAGTGTTGGGGGCCAGTACATATACCCTGGAGTATGTATTTTATTCACAAGTCTCAACCAGGCTCTAAGCTGTTGAATGTTGACATGACGGAAAAAAAGTCTCCATAGAGAGGTGTTCCGGATACAGGATCCTGGACTTTAACTCCTTGATTGGAGGTATTACTGCAGTAGTGAGCTGACGGGCAAGAGGAATCATTGAGGTCAAAGGTTATAAGTTATGATTGCCTTTTATAAAGTCCACTCCATTCTGCAAGCTATAGTTTACAACTTTGGACTGGAAGCTACAACATGGATTCATGGTATCTGCCTTGGCTTCTGGTCTTTGGTGCTCTTCTCATGATTTCCGGCTTGGTAAGGAAACAATGTAGAGAAAACGATTGGAAAATTTTTGACCAGTCGATACTAATAATTATTCATTTTTTATTTTTCATAAATTTCAAAATGTTATTCTCAACTATTTTTTTGAGGGTAAAGACAGGCAGAGTATATGGAATAAGAAGCATTAGAGAGGATCAGAGACATTGGAAGAAGTTATGTTTTTGCTTCAATTTCATTATTCTGTAGTAAGTTTTCTTTTAATGAGATGGAAACTGTGAATTTTGAAAATCATCCTGTTTTTACTATCAAATGAAATGCAGGTTACTGCTGTAGTAACTTGAGACATGAGTAAATGTCATAGGCTCAGTCCATTCTGATAAAACTTTACAGCATGGGATTTAGACTAATCTTATAGTAACATGTAGTTTGTATTACAAACTAACCCAACGTTTTAAGTTTTAAATGCCTGGAGGAAAACATTGTGTTGTGATTTTTTAAAAAAAGAATTATTTATTTAATTTCATTTGTTATCATTATTATCATTTTAATCTGACCAGAGAGAGTCAGAGAGAGAGAGAGAGAGAGAGAGAAAGTGAGAAAGCAAGCTGGCAGGTCTGGGACTTAGCCATATGGGAGTCCAGTGACTTAACCACTACACCACCTGCCAGCCTCTCATTGTGGTTTAAAAAAAAAAAGTTATACTTCACTGAGTTGTGGTAAAAATGAAATGGGTTAATGAATGATAAATATTTATTTCAATGGCCAAATGTATTTTGTTTCTTAATATGAGGAATGTAAACATTTTATTCTAAATACATCTAATAATTACGCTCATCTATTTTCAAAAAAATTATTTTTATAGACATGATAGTTAAATAAAAAAATTAAAAAGTTATTATATTGAACTAAATCATTATAAACAAGAGATATGGCTTAATATATTTTAAAAGTATAATTAGGAACAAATACTTGGTAACTTTATTCTACAGTTGCATTGATATTCCTCTGTGTGCACCTTTGTGTGGTTATAGTGTGAGACAGTCACTTATCAGTGTCAAAAATGATGGTTCCTTTTTGGTTGATAATTATTTAAAAAAAACAGTTTTAAAGATCAGTATATCATATACTCTAGAGTGTGTATTTTATTAACAAGTCTCTATCAGGCACTAAGCTGTTGAATGTCGACATGCGGGGAAAAAAAAAAAGAAAAGAGAAGAAAAAAGCAAAGAAAAGCTCCACAGAGAGGTGTTCAGAATACAGGCTACTGGACTTCATTTATCCAACCAGTTTGTTCTCACATTTTGTTAAACAGGTCAAGTGATCCTAATATTTAGATATGTAAGGTGTAAATATTATCCGTAGATAATATTTTTATTCTATAAGTGAAATAACAAACAATAAATGGCTAGATATAAATCAGAATTAAGAAGACCATTTATATCACGAGAACAGCATAATAACGTCTTTTTCATGTATTTGTTTCCTAGCCAACTCCGGACAATTTTGGTGAGTTTATTTTGGTGTTGCTCTAAGGTATAATAAAAACAGATTGTGCTGATAGTAGGGCAGCAGAGCTTAAAAGTTTAGGACATATTTAATGCTTAGCATCACACATAACTGCATATTTATAGCTGATGCTTAATTGCATCGAACTTTAGTCTATACTCGATTCCTTTTATTTATCGAGGAATACTTTATTATCCATGTTCTAAGGTCCAGGTGCCTAGCAGATAAAAAGATTATAGTATAGGAAAGACTAAAACCAGTGACCAACATAGAGACATTTCAAATATGTTAGTCATGGGACCAGTAGTTAGCGTAATGGCTGTGTCGCTGGACTCCCATATAGTTGACCACAGTTTGAGTCCTGGATCTTGTGGCTTAAACTCATGCCGGGCACGTGTGCGTGCGTGCCCAAGATCCCAGAAGGAGAATGGAGGAGAAGGGATTACAGCGTGGCCATCTCTCCAGGGTTGATTTCCTGCTTTCTGTCTCCCTGTCTCTCTCTGTCTGGCGAGCGCACATCCCCTATAGCAAAAACCTCTCTCAAAAAAAAAGTTAGTCATTGTTTTTTTGCAAGGTTTTGTCAAATCAGACATACCTAATAAAATAGGCCCACTCCTATTCAGTGTGCTTAGAGATTTGGCCACGTTCTCTATAACTCCTATTCAGTGTGCTTAGAGATTTGGCCATTTTATTTATGCTTTGAAATTTACAAAAGTAATTCAAGTTTAACTTATGGATTTTGCTTGAGAGCTCTAAGGTCTACTACTAGCAAGGGATATATAGAAGGACTTCAAAACGTGGAAAAATGAAATTAAAGTATGAGTTTGTTTTGGTGCCAAACATTTTGAAACTCATGCGTAGTTTTTTTCATACATACATTTTCCATAAACTTTGTGAAAACCCATCATACGTATATGGGTCTATAGACTGGCTGGTTTTACCAAATTTAAATACTTTATTTTTTCTTTTTAGAGAGTTTTTTTTTTTCCCCTCTAGGGTATGTGCCCTCCCTGGAGAGACAGAGAGACAGAAAATGAGAAATCACCCCCCAGGGGAATGGCCACACCACAATCCCTTCTCCTCCATTTTCTTCTCGGGATTTTGGGCATGCACACACACACACCCAGTGTGTTTTAAGCGGCTGAATCTAGCATTTGAACCATGGTTGACTATGTGGGAGTCCAGCTACGTAACCATTACACCATCTGCTGGTCCCCTAAATTTAAATACATTTTAATTTAATCTAATCATCTAGGCTAGCCTTCCAAATTAAAGTTAATAATAGAGCGATCAATTTCTTATTCCTAAAGTTGTTTGGCATTAAAAAAAACGTGGCTAGGAAGAAATACATATGGAAAAGCCCTTTATCCCCAGCCTAACACATGAGAGGTTCTCAATTAACCAATCAGTCAAGGTTCTCAATGCGTCAACCAATCAATCAATGTAAGTTAAATAAGAATCTAGAGTCAGTTACTGGAAACAAAAGAAACTTGCTTATTTCTGATTACATAATTGATAAAGTGTTTTCTCCTTTCATAAGCATAATGTTCAATGTGTTTTTCTTTGTTATTTTAGTTAAAGATGTAGATGGTGGAACTGATAAGGACATATTTGATATCAATGAAGGTTTGTAGATTTTTATTTTTTACATCATCTATTATGTGGAAAATTTGGACCCAATTTGCTAACATTTTTATCTTCACTCTTAGATTTGGGATTGGACCTTTTTGAGGGTGATATCAAACTTGAGGTGAGTTGAAACAGTGCACAGAAGAGTCTTCCATTAATCACTATAAACTAAATACAATTGAGAATGAATGGGTGGCATGGACTTTCGTAGGTCCAGCCATCTCTCAGGGCACAGAATCATGGCTACACACTGGTTCAATGAGTACATTGTCCTGGAAGGAGCTCATGCAATAATAACTCGTAGAATATTTCTAATTACTTGGATTTCTGTGGGTTAAAGCCACCGTCACTCACCACGTATGTCTTAGTCCTGATGATCTGATTAATTGCCATTATTGGAACAATATGACATTTTCATTTTAAAGTAAAACCTCACTGGTACAGTCTATTGGAAGCAAAAATTAAACTGAATTTGTAAACATGTTCAGTGAATCAGGCTTGTTATCATAATAAATAGATGTTGTGACTTCTATGCTGACTACATCTAAAAAGTAGGGTTGGCAAGTAAAAATTCTTCCAAATGTATTCATATAGAGTGCTGATTCTGGGCCAGCAGGTGGCATGGTGGTTAAGGGTGCTGGACTCCCACATGGCCAATTGCGACTTGAGTCCTGGATCTGGCGGCTTGCTTTCTCTCTCTCTCCCTCTCTCTCTCTCTCTCTCTCTAT